TTATCTGAAGAAAATGTTCAGTATTTTCCGGTGATATATCTTCAGAAATATAAAACCCCCCTAAAATACATACCTGGGTGCGCCCCTGGATGTAATCGACGTATCTTGCGTAGAACATTACTCCCAGGCTTGTTGTCAGTCCGTCATATACTTTTCCTCTAAATGTTGCATGGAATACTTCCATTAAAATTGCAGATGTGGGATTACCCATCCCTAGCCCGTTAGTTTCTCTATATATTTTGTTATTAAACTTGAAGTAGTTTTGGTCTAGTGTTACCCTCAATGTGTTCACGATTTCCGTTGCTACGTTCTTGTCTGTTTTTTCTGTCACAGTTTTAGTCAAGATGGTAACTGTTTCTGCCGTTGGTATCGATGGGTAAAGATCCTTAACATCAAATGATACAAATTTCGCATCTTTGGGTATTTCTAGCGATTTCATCCTTTCAATTAACTCCCCTGTATTCGTATTCGTGTATTTATTGGGCAGTTCCAGTTTTTCTTTCAGAAACGATTTTAGATATTTCGATAGTTTGTATCCTGGTGCAGATTTATGGTTGATAATTGGTCTCATCGGATTTCCTGGCTTGTGTATTTTTGGGAGTGCTATCATTGAAGGGGCCGAAGGATTCATTAATGTCATTGTATATGCTTTCCTTGGATTTATTATTGTTTTTGCTTATTTTACTGCGTGCTTTACTGCCACTTGGTAGTCATCGGTTGGGTCCTTTCTCATCATCCGATAATTTGTCTCTTTGATTAGTTGCTCTGTCTTTTCTTTATATTCTTTTTCGTACATTATTACCTTTGTGTTCCCCTTGTCTGCTTTTGTTGTGATCACTTTATTCGTTTTGAGTTTTTTCTTTAGCCTTTTGACCGTTTTATTTACGTCCCTTAGTTTTTTCTTATCCATAGATTTTATGCTTTTTTCAATTATACGTCTACATATGTATCTTGCATGATCTTGATCCTCGCTTGGTAGTAATAATATGGCCATTTCCGCGTCTACAATAGTGTGCTCTACCTCTTTATTTTTATCATAATTTTCTATATTGTGTTTCAGACCTTTTTCCAATATTTCTGTCTCTTGTTTGCTAATGGGAACTTTAGTCAAATTTACGAATCTGGAATGGAAAGGCCTTTCGCTGTGTTGTATGTTCTTTGTGATGTTTTGCTTTCTATTGAGG